TAATAGCGTTTTTAATTAAATTTCCATGCTCTATTTTGGCCTATGTTGGAGGGGTTGAATCTCTTTTAGAAGAATACTAACATACACTTTTCTTGTCTTTAAATTATTCCTTGGATATAACACTTTCAGAAAAATATGACCATGTGGAAAGTTTAATGCACATTTTTTTCCGGGTATCAGAAGAATACATCCTTAAATGCGTTTGCTTTATGTGTACATCTTACACGAACTTAGGTTGTCCGATCCTCAGGTCCCAAAAAAAGGAGTTACTAGGTAATGCCAAAATGCGGATACTTTGAAAATGCAAACAAAAATGTCTCTGAATCTTTAATTAAAATGTGTATTCAAAGTTTATCATTAACGTTAATCGTATCATATAAAAAAAATTAAAGGTATCCAGACATTTTGAGGACAATGCATTTTTTTCATTATTTTGATTTTAAGTTCTATTTACATGTGAGACTTTACAGCACATTTTTTAAAACTTCATATCATGCTAAAACATTTGTATCTAAAGCTAGCTGCAGAACTGTAGCTCTCTGCTTGAGAAAATTCGGACAGAAAAAGCAGATAGCTAAAAGATGCAAGCGTTATAAAAACCTTCGATTTACGCTGACGATTTTTGTTGATACTTTAGGTATTATTTCATGTAGATTTCTCTGGCGTTTAGAATGGTATCATATATAATTAATCATATTTAACTCTTATTTTTCATACTTTATTTACCTTTTCACGGTCCGAAAAAGTCCTGTATAATAGTTTTGTAAAGTCGGTTTAAAAAGAGTGAAAGGCAAGTAAATTTTCAGGAATTGGTGTTACATACATGTATATGATTAATTTTAAATACTATTTTTTAAAGCTAGGGAAAATATAAAATACAAGAAATAATACCCGAAGAGAGCGACTAAAAACTTCGGCGTAAATCGAAGGTTTTTACAATGCTTGGATCTGTAGCTCCGAATTTTCTCAAGCAGAGAGCTACAGTTCTGCAGCTAATCTAAATCTAGATTAAAGATATTTGATGTCTATAACAAGGGCCAACGGGCCTTATAGGTCTGAGTATCACGTAGCAACTTTCCAACAATTGAATTTGGTTCGTTTTTAAACCAGAGGCCATGAAATTCACAATTTCGATAGAGGCACTATTCTTTATCATTACTATACTCTTAGTATGCTTACTTTGGCTTATTAATACCCAGAGGTAGATCAGAGTAACAAAGAGAAAAATGCATTTCCACTTTAAAACCAACTGTGCACCCCATCCCACAGGATCGACTGACCCTGGGGCCACATATTTCACAATTTTGTAGATTTTATCTTTAATTTTATTCATCATAAATAGTTAATACCAAAGAGCAGATTTCAGGGCATTAATATATAACCAGACTATGTACCCCCCCCCCCCCCCGTTCCCCTGCCCTGAAATTAACCATTTTGGAAGTGGCATCTTTCTATGTACAGAGATCATTGGCATAATACCCAGGACCAAAGGAAACGATTTTCAAGATTTCATGCATTTTCACCATATAATCAATAGAGCCCCACCCCAACACCGGAACCCCTGACACAGGGGCCCTAAAATTCACAAATTTGGAAGAGGCATCCTTCCTCATCATAACTATGTAATAGTTCATTATTTGTATAATACCTAGAAGCAGATGAGAAGATTTTTAAAAAAATTATGCATTTTCACTATATAGTTATTATCAATAGAGCTCCGCCCTAACACCAGAACCTTTTACCCAGGGACCATGAAATTCACAATTTTGGAAGAAGCAGCCTTATTCAACATAACTACATGTATGTACTTTGTTAATCTAATAAATACCAAGCCTCACCCTTACACCAGAGCCCCCGACCCTGGGGCCATGAAATTCACAATTTTAGACGAAATTCTTGTTCATTATAACTAGAAACATCTTCGCTAGCCAAGGGTTTTCGGTCCGCACCGCTCCCCATAAACCCTTGGCCGATATGCACTGTAAAACGCCGGTCACACATAGCGCCATCTGTAAATCTCCTGAAAGAACGATAATTCTGGTTGTAGCAAACAGCCAATGAAATGATTGCTTTTAAGTATGTTTCGGTAGAAAATTATTACACAATATGGCGACTTCCATTGAAACAACATTTGGAATACAAAAATTAATTCTTTCCAATGCTGTAACGGACAGACGTGGTGTGTTCATAGGAACAAAAACGGGTTTACACATGCATTAGAATTTCCTCGAAAACTTCTCAAAAAATCTAGGCCGTAAATTGAAAACAGTTTTTTCATTGGTCCACGGTCGGCTACAACTCTCCCATGAAAATTGTCCGGCGTTTTACAATGCATATCGGCCAAGGGTTTATGGGGAGAGTTGTGGACCGAAAACTCTTGGCTAGCGAAGATGAACTAGGAACATAGTTCATTGGTTTAATACCCAGGAGCAGAGGAGACAATTTAAAGAATTTATGCATTTTACTATATGATCAATAGAGCCCCGTCCTAACACCAAAACCCCCACTCCTGGGGCCATGAAAATCACAATTTAAGAGAAGACATTCTTGCTCATCATGATTATGTACTTGGTTAGTTTAATAAATACCCAGGAGCAGAGAAGATTTTTAAAAAAACATCATGCATTTTCACTATATAATCTATATAGCCCCGCCCTAGCACTAGAACCCCTGACCCTGGGGCCATGAATTTCACAATATGGTAGAGCACTCAATGCCGATTACAATCATGCCAACAGTTTGACTGCTTGATGACTAGGAGTAGATGAGAAGATTTTTAAAGATTGCATTTATTTTAGTGGTTTTGGCCCCACCCCTCAGGACCCAGGGGGGCAGGGACCATGGAATTCACAATTTTGTTCCCCTACACCCCATGAATGCTTTATGCTAAAATTAGTTGAAATTGGTTGAGCGTTTACAGAGAAGAAGCTGAAAATGTTCAAATGTTAACGCACGACGACGGACGAACACAGATAGCAACAGGTCAATGCATTTATTTTTGTACTTCATGAGGGTACAAATGTACAATTTTTAAAAGACAGTCTCTAAGACTTCAAAGAGTATTCAGAAATACTGAGATGCTTAAAATGAAAATTTCTGCTTAAAAAGAGTTCTTGAGACTTTTAAAATTTAATGATATCCTTCCTAGCTGAGGATCGGATATCCTCAATACATGTATTTGATTGCCAATGTTGAAACTTTTATTGATAAAGTAAACAGTGAACAAACACTTTATCTTTCTTTATCCGGATTATCTTCTTTTTTAAGGGTTTATGCAAAAATGTGATTAATACTAGCCATAGAAATAGGAACGACCCACGCTCCAGAAATTTGATAGATTTTTCTGTTTCTGATATTTGAATAAAAGATTTGTGAGAAAATCAATACATTATTTTAATTACAAGAAAAAAAGAATGAATTCAGATTGACAAGATTTATAAACACAAGTAATATGCTCAAGACAACTAACAGAAATTCCAATAATACTAATTGTTTTTGTTGCAGCTATAAATATTAACCGTATTAGTATACAATGTAATGCTAGTATACAAGTCTAAGAATCAAAAGTCAGATGGTCTTGCCAAATCCCGATGGTCTGCGCCAAACTCCGATGGTTTCCTGTCGGCATGGATGCCAAAATCCAATTGTCACGCCAAAGTCCGATGCATATCATATGGATTGTTTCCAATGAGACGCGATGCGCTAAAGTGCGATGATATGACACGCTAAGGTCCAATATTTACATTTGCTGTGTTTTTCTTCTAAGCTAACTGTATTGAATACCATTTTCGTGTGTACTCGCGCGTAGAATTATACACGGAGAAACGTGTGCTAATGTGACATATTTGATTGACATATATATATATGCAAATATTGTGTATTGTTTAATATTTACATTTGCAAATGTTTTTCTTTATATAACACTACTGAAAGGAATGCATATCTATAACTGTATAAATACAGGTACAGGGTCAAGAGGTCAAAAATGTGCGTATGGATAATCGTTTGACGTAATTTCTCAGTGACGTCATAAAGGGTCGACGCGCGTTCAGTGGATTACATACTTGCCGTTGAGTTTGAAAAATAATGCATTCTCACACGCTAAAAGTCACAGTCAGGCAAATATAAAGTATGAATAAGTCACAAATGTAAATATAAGTAATAAGGTATCATTTTAAAACATCTATCGGGCTATAAATACGGGTTGGTACGAGATTAAATTCATCATAAAGCCCTTCGGGCTTTATGGAATTTAATCTCGTGACCAACCCGTATTTATATCCCAATAGATGTTTAAAAATGATACCTTATTTCTTAAGAGACGTCACCGTATGCTGGAAAAGGGCTTCAAATTTTGATCTATACTCGGCACTCAGGGTAATTGAGCAGTGAGGGTTCTTTATCGTGCCACGCCTACCGTGATACGGGACCTACGTTTTTAAGGTCATATCCGAAAGACACGTGACTTTCACTTCTAATGCCGAGCACTTGGTGAAGGAACAGTCACTACTTATGTTTACGTCTTAGGTTTGATGCGGCGACGAGAATTGAAAGTACCAAAACTGTACTCAATTTTTGAATTTCTCGCTGCCCTTTGTCCGTTTTTGAAGCCTCATTGTGACGTCACGTTAAAGTGAGTTTCTCTGTGTATATTTCTATGCATGAGCATACACGAAAATGGTCTTCAAATCAATTTCCACACTTAGTATAAGTATAAAAAAAAAACTGCGGATGTAAATTTACCTCAATAACTCACACATGCATTTTATTCTTTAGCTGATTGCTTGCACCTTCCAGAGATATAAGGAATAGTCCTTGCAGATCACCCGACTGACTGGGTTAGACCTTGCTTGACACTTTACGATTAGTTCTCATGCACTAGGCGAGTTGATTCGGGTTAGTCTCGCACCCACCCATTATATCTAGGTTATCGTTGTTACATTGCAGTTAAGTGCAGTTTTTACTATGACGTCATAAACATTAATTGTTTTCCTGACACATCGGACTTTGGCGTGCCAAACCATCGGGGTCGGACTATTGCGTCCTATATTCATTTTGTATCACCAGTAATAATAAAATAAAGGCTTGCGATTTTTTGCATTGAATGCTATAGCATAACTTCTTGAATTGTATACATTTCTCTTATCATTCTTGTTGCAAGTCTCATCCCTTTTATATTTCTTTTGAGGTTCACGTTTTAATTTGTTTTTTCTATGTATAATATACACAAGTAAAACACATATGCCTATTGTAACTAAAATGAGGAAAGACACCCCTGTTGTCATTGCAGCAAACGTAGTTGGAGTAAACCCCAGTCTGTCTAAGTAACTGAGATCCGTGGTAGTTACTACAGTTGTTGTCGATTGTTTAGGTGTAGTTGTGCTTTCTATTACTAAGGTTGATGAATGCGGTTGAGATGAAGTTATATCCTCTGTTGTTGATAAAGATACTTGTTGCGTTGAAGTTGTTGGAGAGTCTACAGTTGATAAATGCTGAGTGGAAGATGTACTATCTTGTGTTGTTGAAGGTGGCTGTTGCATTGAAGGTGTGGTTTCGATTGTCGTTGAAGACAGTTCTTGCGTTAGAACTGTGCTATCCAGTGTCTTCGAAGATGCTTGTTGCGTTAATGATGTGCTCTCGATTGTTTCTACAGTTGATAAATGCTGAGTGGGAGATGTACTATCTTGTGTTGTTGAAGGTGGCTGTTGCATTGAAGTTGTGGTTTCGATAGTCGTTGAAGAAAGTTCTTGCGTTAGAACTGTGCTATTCAATGTCGTCGAAGGTGCTTGTTGCGTTAATGATGTGCTCTCGATTGTTTCTACAGTTGATAAATGCTGAGTGGAAGATGTACTATCTTGTGTTGTTGAAGGTGGCTGTTGCATTGAAGTTGTGGTTTCGATAGTCGTTGAAGAAAGTTCTTGCGTTAGAACTGTGCTATTCAATGTCGTCGAAGGTGCTTGTTGCGTTAATTTTGTGCTCTCGATTGTTTCTACAGTTGATAAATGCTGAGTGGAAGATGTACTATCTTGTGTTGTTGAAGGTGGCTGTTGCATTGAAGTTGTGGTTTCGATCGCCGTTGAAGACAGTTCCTGCGTTAAAACTGTGCTATCCAATGTTGTCGAGGATGCCTGTTGTGTTAATGTTGTGCTTTCGATTGTTTCTACTGAGAAAAATTGAAAAAGTAATCTGGATTTTTTTTAAATTCACAGATGTATTCTTAACTGTACAATAAAAATGATTACTCTTTCCTTTAAAAAAAAATACCATTTTAAAAGAAATTATCATGAAACTGAATCAACTGATTAAGTGATCGTGCTTTTCATTGAACTATGTAGTAACTCTGGTTTATGCTATGTTTAATTTTTTTATTTTCTATAATAATTATTCTTTATTACCATTAAGGTTATAGAACACTCAATTACAAGAAATTTTTACCATTGTGTAAGCAAAGAAGACCATAACTTGATGTTTTAATCTGTTTAAAAATTTCTTGTATTAATTGATTTATGATTTGATGTTAAAGAATCTTAGAACAAGGTGTTTTTGTGAAACACTGATTGTAAACCCATTGAAAGCTTTTGTAACAGTGAATACCAATAAGAAGTATGAAAGCCCTAGCACCACTGTTTCAATAGTTATGGCCAAGGTCAAAATCCAAGATAAAGGGGTCAAGTTTGATGGTACCCGAAGAAAGGTCTTGTCAAAAGGAATACACAATCATGTGAAATATGAAAGTTATGGGCAAGGTTAAAGTTATTGAGGATAGACAGACGGACAGGTCAAAAACAATAAACCCCCGAATCTTCGATTACAGGAGCATAAAACTGTATTCAGATTTATTTTAATCAAATTAATTTATTTCTTAATACAAATCCTTATCCACTGCAGATTTTGAAAAAGATGTTGATTTTTTTTCCAATTACATGTAATCATACCAAGTCTTATTACTTTGTGATACATTGTTTTAACCAAAAACTTCATATATTGGCGAGAAATATCTTAATGAAAAAAATATTTAGTTAACATAAAATTTGAGTTTTAGTAACTTTCATAAGACTTACTTTTTAAAATGGCTTTTTATCAATAATAAAGTAATGAAATACAAGTGAAGTAGCTCACATACCCTACGCTCCCCCAAAACTCAAAGTGCCGAAATTCCCAGAAAAAAATAAAGGGAATCGGAATTTCTTGATGCACATGTACATATTGTGTTCTAAATGTCTGCAAAGTTTGACAAAATTTCTGTGCAGCGGTTTATTAGGAGTTGTGCTGACAAACTGTTCATCTCCATATTCAAAATATGGCCAAAAATCTTAGTGGAAAAGTGCCGAAATTCCCAGATTAATAAAGGCATCGGAATTCCGTGGTAATATGCACATCTACAAATTGTGTCCTAAATATCTGCAAAGTTTGACCAAATTCTGTGCAGCGGTTTATGAGGAGTTGTGCTGACAAACTGTTTATCTCCATATTCAAGGTATGGCCAAAAATCTAAGTTGAAAAGTGCCGAAATTCCCAGAAATAAAAAGGAATTGGAATTTCCTGGTAATATGCACATACACATTGTGTCCTAAATATCTGCAAAGTTTGACCAAATTTTGTGCAGCAGTTTATGAGGAGTTGCGCTGACAAACTGTTCATCTTCATATTCAAGGGTTGGCCAACAATCTGAGTTGAAAAGTGCGGAAATTCTCGAGAAAAATAAAGGAATTGGAATTCCCTCGTAATATGCACATCTACACATTATGTCCTTAATATCTGCAAAGGTAGACCAAATTCTGTGCAGCGGTTTATGAGGAGTTGCGCTGACAAAAAAAGGACTGACCGACTGACTGAAAGACGGGTAAAAACATTATACCTATCACAACTTGTAACGTGGGTTATGGTTACTTGAGATATTTAGTTCCTGTTTAAACAAACACTTTATGGACTCTGTTTTGTAATACTTTTTATGCGTTATGTCTTTTTCCCAATTCAATTATGTTTACATTATTACTATTTCTGATCAAATTTTTGAAGTAATCTTTATTATTTTAATGTCTATACTCCCATTTCAGATTCTCAGTTATATGATAATTATTGTATATCTTTATATTTATTTTAATCAAGCGCTTTAGAGTAATTTTAATCATATTTAGCGCTATACAAATTAAATAATGATAATAATAATTTGTACAAAGTTTAATTTTCAACTCCCCCCCCCCCCCCACATACATACATGTACATACACTCATGAAAATGAATAATCGTTGCAAACATGCATGTCTGTGATTCAATGATGTGCACAAAACAAAATAAACATAATATAGAAAAAATGATGAAACCAGAAAAAAATTATAATGATTATTGGCTACAAAACTAGGTTACAATTAACAAAAGCAAAGGCATAAAAATATAGCACTGTCGTAATAAACCACACCCAAATAAAAACGAACATATCTTGTATAGAAAGACAAATAAAGGGGAGTAAATGCAGTTAAGATACGCGTTGAACAAGGATATGTTTAACTAAATTTTTATTTTTTAATATTGTGACAATTTTAAACTTCCTTATTACAACATGTTATTTATTGTCCCCCGCTTGAAAAGTGGGGGATATTAATTTGGGTCTGTCCGTCCGTCCGCCATTCTGTCTGTCTGTAACGCTTTCGTTTCCACACGATATCTCGAGAACTCTTTGAGCTTTCGCAATGAAATTTTGCATAGCAACTCCCTATGGACTAGAGAAGAAACCTAATGATTTTGAGGTCAAAAGGTTAAAGGTCAATGTCATAAATTCGCAAATTCTGTCTGTTATAACACTTTTGTTTCCACGCGATATCTCGAGAACCCTTTGACCTTTTGCAATGAAATTTTACATAACAATTCCCTGTGGCCTAAGAAAGACCCCTACCCCTCTCGAAGTGTCCCGTCCCGTTTGTTTTATTAGTATTTATTGTATTAAATGTCGCTATTTTTAGCACTGGGGCATGAGGAGAGTTATTACATATAAAACAGGTTCTCGGTGGACTTTATATTCTTATTACACCTCTTAGAACTGTTTAATAAAGGTTAAATAAGACACCATGCATTGTGTAAAATTTTGACAATATCGAGCGTGAATATATATATGTGACTTCATCTTTGCATATAATTTTCGCCAGTGTAAAGAAGTTCCGTGGTCTAGTGGTGTGTCTCTCGCTTCACATGTGAGATCTCGGCTTCAAATCACGGACGATCAATTTTCTTTTTTTTTTTCGAAATACTTTTTTTTTTACTAAATGACAGTATTCAGCATGTGAAATGAAAAAATTATGAGGTCTGGCTTGTACAAACTAATAAAACCATCATTACAGTGTGATAAATATTCCATATAAAAAGAATCTTCTATACACATAATAAAGAATAGGCAATCAAACCTTTATATCCATATTGGCATATTTTATTTGCTTCAGTATACATGTATACATTTGATAATTCTAGAAATTCTGTCAAGGGGATCCGACCCCCCCCCCCTCCCCCTGAACTGCGCATGGTTTACTTTTTCCCTAAGCGAATTCTATGAATTAGCTTGTTATGAGAGATTTATTTTGAGTACGAGTTTCTTACTTCATCAGAGATATCCGGGACATGGGCGAGCGATAGCCCCTCCTTGTATCTCCTAAACAGTATGAAACGAATACTGCAGAAGTACTTTTTTCCGCGTGGTTTTTAATATTTACGCTATGTACGCTGTCACAAATATTTTCCGCGGAAATTTGTCCAAGTGTTCTTATTATATAAGGCAGTAGTGGCAATCTAGAAAATCCGCGTAATATTCTACCCGCGGATTAAACAGAAATTGAGATTTCGCGGAATAATGACCCCGTGGAAAAAAGTACGTCTACAGTATTTTGATTGTGGCTTTTATTATGGACTTACTAATTTGTATGCGTATTTTGGTATATATCTCATACAACCAGTCAGGTGATTTTGACAGCAAGTTTAATTTTTTCCCCAAATGAGCTGGTTGTGCATGTACTTTGTCTTGTAAATTTTAAATTATGAGATGTGTTATTTCCTACAACGTTATCCACCGGCAGTCATACACAATATCTATTTCTCAAAATCCAAAACGGTCGGGCATGACGCCCATCTTCGCCCAAGTCTCTCCACACACTGTCACAAATGACAACGTGCACTGACGATTTGCTTAATATCGCATTTAATTAAGTCAGTCACATAAAGATTTTATCAAGGGAAAAGTATACAGAAAACTGGGAGCATGACTTTTACCATGCTAGTATCATACTGTAAAATCACACATTATCGAGGGGTCAAATTTTCGAGGTTTGAGGAAAATAGTATGGTTCCTGGGGATTTGGTTTCGTGGTTGAAGAATTGATCAGTAGTAATATTTGTGGAAAATTGCATTTCGTGGGGGATATAAATTCATGGGTCTTTTCATACATGTACCCTGAAAACCATGGGAATTAACCCCCCACGAAAATTAGTGATTTCACAGTAACAGCATTTCAATTTAAGTTCACGTCAAATATGGTTGACACAGAATAATTTCTCGATCTCCTTTCCCGATTTGGGCATTCCGGCACGAGATGGAGCCTATTTATTTTTTAAATAAAAAAATATACAGTCATGTAAACTTCCTGCATTGACTATATTTATTATACTTTAGGACATACTGATTTTCTATACAGTAAAATTAAAATTGTTGTGCAACCTGCAGCAAGGATCACTATTGTATATATGGAATGCCGCAAAACCATGGTGTGACCGAAATCATTATAAAACAGACTCGGGGGGGGGGGGGGGGGGGGGTAGAGGCCAATATTTTTCAATGTCAACTTCTTCCAGTACCAATTTTGTTGTATTCAACACTACAAATAATTCCCCGATATCAATTTCCTGGAATAAACGGTGGGCGGGGGGGGGGGGCGCAACCAGCCTTTCAATGAACATTCCCAACAGTACAAGTAATGTTGGGGAAAAAAGTCCCCCCCCCCCTGTTACTACGTGTCTGCTTCCAGTTGAGTCGATACGCAGAAGAATGTTGTATGTTCTAATGGTTTCTTAAATGAACCAAACTTAAAATCACCATTTTGCAAATGATATTCAGTACAATATCAAGATATGGTTAAGTCGAATACTGGTTTATGTTTTTCATACAGTAATACATTTTTTGGT